AGATAAGTATCCAATACATTTAAAAGTGTTTTTTAACTAAAATAATTAAAATGAAAAGAAAGAATGTTGGGTGTATTAAGAGTTACTCCCTTATTATTTGGGAAAATTTAGCTATCCAAACTTGAATAGTTATGGTTTGTAATATCTTATTTCAATATATTAACTAATTAGTCCTCTACAATGGGACATTATAGCAGCCTTTACTGCTATTTTGTAGAAGAGGTATTAGATTAGATTACGAAATCTCAATGAACTGATTATTAAAAAGTTTCCTATTTGTTCTTGGAAGCAACTTTTTAACAGAAAGCACTGTCTAAAGATGGAATAAATTTCCTTAATAAGTACTGATATTGTAATCACTGAAGAGACATTTAGGTTACTTTTCAAGTCTCAGCCTGTAAGTCTTCAGAGATCATTCGGAAATATAGTAGTAAATATTTCAGGTTTGCAGGTTCTTAGTTCTGTTTCACAAGGTCTCAACTTGGCCACTGTAGCTCAAAAGCAGCCACAGACAATATGTAACCAAATGGACATGGGCGTGTTCCAATAAATATTTGCAAAAACCAGTTACTGGCCCACAAGCTGTAGTTTTCTAATCTGTGGTCTAAGTTTTCAGCTTATCAATGAGAAAGTTGTTTAAATTCTTAAACTCTTTAGATTTGTCATCTCTGAGTAGTAACAAAGCTATAGAAAAGTCAACAATTTCTTGAAAATAATTTTCCCAGGTCCTTAAGAATTAAAAATCTCACTTTTAACACTTTACATAAAACAACAAACACATTTAGATTTAATTTTTTAAAACTTAAGTTTGAGGAATTTAAAAATTTGTAAATGTAATAAAATCCCAAAGAACAGCGATGCTGCACAATAAAGTTCTAGAGGGAAAGAGAAGGAGGGGAAAGTTGAAATACACAAACTACTTTCCCTGCCTTTGTACTGCTACTGTATGCCAGTGTCTGCCTTACAGTAAGATAGAAACAGGTCAATAAGATGATTCTGAAACAATAGGGAGAGCACAGCTGAAAGGTGTTTTAAAGCCCACAAAAACTCTACAAATCGAATAATTAAGAATTGACTATATAAACAAAGGTTTTGAAACTCACCGTCTCTATTAGTTTCCCATTCTACATTTTCTTCTTCACTTTCTGGAGTTCTCTCCTTAGTGATTTTTATGTCTTCCTTTTCCCTATGTCTCCCTCTTGAAGATTCTTTCTAAAAAGCACATACATGTATTCAGATTACTACATTTTAAAATACTATATTAAGGAGTGATTATTATACAGAACATTTTAATTTCATTCATATTTGTTTCATCAAAGAATCAGTTTTGTAAATATTCACTTATCTTCTATGTAGAGGTAGTGACAAGTTCTGGTTTAGCACCACAATGAAAAGACTGTATCTATTTTACTAAAGAACAGAAACTTGGTAAATGTAAGGAGTAGCTAAGATTTAAAAATATACAATGCAAATCTAATACTTTAATAAGTATTTAATATTCTACTACATACTAAGTTTCTATATGAAAATCACTGGGGAAAAGACAGTTTAAAATGGATAAAAGACAATGGAAGAATTTGAAAGTGTCCATATTTTAAATTGTCTAAAAAGGGCTAAACCATTCACTGTAGACTTCCAAAAATAATTAATCTAAGACTTGCCATACACTAAAATAATAGCTGTTTTCCTACACACCTAAGGATAAATCCATACTCATTTAATAATTTTATAAAGGCTTTTAAAAAAAGAGATTTTACCTATGTTGATGAAGCCAAATGGTACCTAAAATAGTCAGTAATTAGTCCTTAAAATTGTAGCTAAATAACAAGTTTTGCACCTTATTCCAGGTAAAAACAGTAGCCTATACACAAAACAGAACAACAATAATTCAAAATAGCCTATTGCATAAGACTCCAAACCACATTTTACTAGGTAATGAGAAAATAAAGTAAC